TAGTAAATGGGAATAAAAATGGATGAAAATTGGGTAAATCTCAGCAAATGGGCATATGATAATTTTTTTTAAAAAAATAAGGCCAAGGTTCAAACGGGTGAAATAAAGGATTCATGTGAAAAAGGGATAGACATTTGGCCATACTAGTTAAAAGAAATGAATGTCTAAATCATTTTTGTGTATGCAAATGGCTATTATAAGTCTCAACAAAGATTCAAAACATGTTCCAGAGATGGAATCACAATAAGTAATACTTTCCCCAAGTGTTATCCAAAAATCACACAATTCAAATAAACTAAGTGTGGTTAAGGAGTTGATCTTAAAACCAATTTATAAAAGAAATCATTTAAATTTATAAACAAATATACCATCGCAAAATAAAAATTTAAAGCCTTCATAAAAATTTATAGGTTTTACCTATAGCACGAAAGCAAGCTATACAAAAGTGGGATAAAAAGAAGCTGTCATGACAGCATTAAATTGCTGTCATGACAGCCCTCCTGGGCCAACTTTCGGGAGGCGCCGTTCCACCATTCGACCTTCAATTAAAGTGATTTTAAAGTTTACACGTCATTTTTAATGATTACTAGTAGTGTACCAAATTATAAAATGATCTAACGGTCGGATTAGAATTTAGACACTTTAAAAGATTGGATAAAGTTGCTATCATGACAACACTTTTGGACCAACTTTTGAAGTGCATAATTTCATCATCTGACCTCCGATTGGATCGATTCTAAAGCCCAAATGTCACTTTTAAAGAGTACTATTAGCATACCAAATTTTGAAAATATCCAAGAAATGAATTGAAATTCGTGCATGTTGCAACATCAACATTGTTGCTGTCATGATAGCTCTTCCAAACCAAATTCCAAAGTGTGTCGTTTCTCCATCCAGTGTCGGATCGATGTGATTCCAAAGCCCACACGAAGCTTATAAAAAGTTTTACTCATGACCCAAATTTTAGAAAAATCTAATAGTTAAATTAAGATTTGGACACCTAGATGTAAAAGTACAGTTTTTTGGTAAAAATCATTTTCAAAATTGTCCAAATCTCATCCTAGGGCTCACAAACTTGTGGGAACACTTTGGACACATCAAATAGAACTAGGAGTACCTGATATAACATTTAAATGATAGAACAACCCCTTATATCAAAAGTTGACCACTCGGGTGTCATTTCTCAAAATGGACTCTATGCGCCCAAAATTTACAAATCACACAAGAGTGGCCAAAACCTATTCCAAATATCATATCCACATATGAATACACACGCTAAACATTTTCACTTAGCTCAGAGATCTCTATGGGACCTACACACCCACTCTCTTTATCCAAGGTGTATTTTTGCCCATAGCACACCATTTGCAATGCAACCATTTTGCATTTGCTTGTAGAATCACATATATATCAAAATAAATATCTACTTGTAGTAGAAACTTGGTCTACTAAATAAATTCATCAAAACCACACATCATAATTAAGTTTCCTAGCCATAAGTCTACAAGCAGACAAAAATTCATACACAAGCCATACAATCCACACACACACATATATATACTCACATCCTACTGGCATACTAATCCTAAATACATTACAATAGATTTGCACAAAAGAAAGGGGCAGTTCTTTACAATCCACAAACAACTCCTAGCTCTGTTCCTTTCCCCGTCCACCATTGGTTCTTTCGCCTAGACCTAGAAATATTAAAAAGCAATGGGTGAGACAACCACTATCTCAGTAACAGAGAAATCTACATTAATTATTATCAAGTAAACTATAATCGAATAAATGAATAATAGATTCAACATAATATATAATTTAGCCATTTCAAATGTATGAATGCATGACATAGGCAGTATGGCCTTTCCTGACCAACAGAATGCCCCTTGGTACTCTTTAGCTTGTAGGTAAACCTTATACCCACTTGTACCTTCACAAGCACAAAACATAATCTAAGGCATGATCAAATCCACCTAATCACTTGTGCTCCTTCAACATGAATCCCGAGCAGCCTAAACTAACTCTTTCCTAGAGCCAGCCTGACTTACTTTCCATGTGAGGGCTACCTTGGTCTAGGCACTCAAGCTCACACTTCATATATCAGATTCTCTCCCCTATTGAAAGGTGTCGAACACTCAATCAACTAACCACTTTAGTGCACTGAACCCACAATACGAAAGGCAACACTAAGTACTGATAGTGTGCCATAGAATATTACAAGTTCACATCTCCCTATTGTTGAACTCCCACCGAGATCATGCCTTTCACTCTTGTCTATCTTTCCCAAGTATTGATCACTTCAACACTTTAAGGTAGTATAACAAATATCACTCCTTCCTTGAGCGTTTCCTTAGCCTCTCTAATGTACCTAACCCAATTACACTTCCTTAAGTACAACTTCTATTCTTTATGATTTCAATGCATGCAAAAAACCTCGTTTTCATAAAAATAATATTGTTAAATGAATGGAAAACATATATGAACTATTATCCAAGTAATTCCCCATAAGTTTTTATAAAACACAATTAATTGTATTTAATCATTCAAAATGTATAATGTATGATAGCTAGTAATATTTATTAAAAAATAGCTCAACAAAGCAATAAGAAATATAAATTCCCCTATTACCTTAATTCTTTGGTACCAAAAGGGTTTCTCTTGTATAAAATAGGACTTGACTTATTCCTTAACTTCTCAATAAGTTCCACCAAGAATTCCCTACAACATATAAGTGATCCACATCACTTTTTATAGCAAATAGCATTAATGAAGACTATAACTTGAGTTAATGAGCCATAATCCATTCCAATGGTCCATATATTAAATCAACCATTCACATAATACTACTTAACCACTAAAACTATTTATTAGCCACCACTAGGCCAATTTTCAATTCATATAAATTTTAATCAATTAAAAACCTTCAATTAGTGTCACCAACTTTCATCATTAGGCTTTATAATGAAAACCAAACCTTAATTTAAATCTTATTGGGCTCAAATAGTAAAATTATATCTAAATCAATAGGCTTAAACCATTAAGGAGCAAAACCCAACATCTTGGGGTCTGACTTTTTCTCTAAAACTTTATTTTTCGTCCAAATGCCCACTCAAAACATTAGGGCATCAAGTAAAAAATCAAAACAACCTTCCAAGGATCCAAGGAAACTAATGCTTACAAGAATAAAGTCTTTGAGATCAAATTTCAAAAATTCCTCTTCTGAAATTGAAGAAAACAAAGAGGGAGGGAAGGGGATTGAAGTAGGGAGTTTACCTATCGCGTAACCAAATCTGAACCTCACTCCCTCTCTTCTTCCTCTCTTCTTCCTCTCACTCTCTCGTCCGTTCGTTTCTTTTCTTTTGTTTTTATTTTCAGCTTCTGCATTCAGTTTTCCCTTTTAAAAACTGATTTAAACAATTTCAGGAAAATTACAAGAAAGGGCTCAAGATTTTTTTATTATAGCACAAAAGCCCAAGTCTTGGTAATTTTCCCATAGTTAAAAATAAAACTAAACTTTTATTGAGTAAAATTCAAACTCTGAATTTCTATTAAATTATTCTTAATTTTAATTTAATTATAAATATTTTATTTTTAAAAAAAATTGAGTCTTAAAATTTTCAGGATGTTACACAATAAATGTACTCTCTCTTAAAGGAAATGAATATTTAGGCCTAAAATTCTTACAAGCTTTTTGAACAAACTATTGTCAATTATCCAAACTTAATCCATTGCCTATTTACTAAAATTCTAAGAAGGTAGGACTGACTTTTAATCAAATTTAATTCTCTTAAGTTCAAACCGATCCAACCTTAGCCACATTCACCAAAAAGACATCAAAACTGACTAAAACAAAAAACAAATGTTTATGAAATTTTCAAATTTTTTTTTTCATTTTTTTAAACAATGTATAGATATATACAACCAATTCCTAAAACAAAACAAACTTAAGGACAAGTAAAATAACAAATATAAAAGCAAGTACGCCCTCCCCCACACTTGAATCAAACATTATCTCCAATGTTTAAAGACAGAAAACAAACAAGGAGAGAGAGGAACACTAAAACTCCCTTGACCAATAGACATGGTGAGTTGATAGACAGAAAGACTTTGACAGAGGGATGAAAGTGACATATCCTTAAGAGAATAGGTACCTGCTAATCACATCAAATGGACAAGTGGATAAGTTGAAAATAAAGAAGTTAGTTACAGACAATCGACTAAAAAGTTATTAAATATCAGTTACAAACCAAAATAGTAAATGAAGCAGTCACAAAAAAATAGCAAAATAACTAAAAAAAACTAAAAACAAAAGAAATAAAGATACTAATCAAAAAGACACAAATCAAGTAGAGTGGAAGCTCAATTCCATGGTGGGTTCAGTTTGAAAGGGATCTATAGATGGAATAGGAGAAGATGCCACAGATAAGCCAAGCACGTCATGACTAGGTATGTGTAAATGCTGCATGATGAGGCATAAATACTCTTCCAACCTCTTGATGACATCCACTAATGACTCTAATTGTTGCTTAGCCCACAAATTAAAAGGAGGAGAACGAACAGGGGTGGGCTGATTGACTTCTTCCCCTTGTTCTACTGGAGACTCCTCTACTTGAGAGGACTTGCCATGCATTTTGTGGTGCTTGATAGGCTAACGAGGTTGCTATTGGTCCTCATCATCAGTAATAGGAGCCTTAGCAGCAAGAAGTAACTCAGTAATCAAATGAGGGAAGGCAAGCGCTCTCTTAGTCTTGACGTTGATACACCACTTCATATAATCATAGATAATAGTAGCTAGATCAACTAATTTTCTCTCCATAATGCAATAGATGAGAAAAGAATGATCCTTGTTCATTTCCGATGCATTTGATGTGGGCATGACATTGTGAGCCATAAAATGAAACCAAAATGTGCTTTACCTTGTAAATGTACCCCTCAATAGCCCTCATTGATAACAACCAACAGAGTCAAAACATAAACGCTTGGCCACTACATCCCAATCAAGTGTAAAGATGTTCGTCTTGTATTGGCAATAAATACAGTTAGTAGTGGAAGGGAAGCCATAATAATTCTGAATAACCTTGGCATTAATTACTACTTCCTTGTCGTAGTGTCACTGCAGCAATGAAATGCATTTGCCTAAAATTCCCTAACTAGAGCAAGGATATAATATTGAAAATTTTCATTTGTCAAATACACCATCCATCCCCTTCACACTATTGTTTGAAATGCAGCTTTGGAGCATAAAATTACACAATAATAGTTAGAAATAAAATTCTTGGATCCCACAAGAGAGAAAAATCTGTCTTGGCATGCGTGATTCATGAATTTATCATTGTTGAATAGTTGCTTTAATTTCTTAGCAGCTTTCTGAGCAGAAGAAGGGGGAGCAGTCTTGTATTTAGCTATACACTTGTGACCAATTGCTAAAACATAAACACCAAGACAAGCCACTGTAAGTCACAATAAACAAACCACCACAAAAGTAATCACATGCCAAAAATTAAATAAAGACAACCAAATGGAAACAAGAGCCATACCAACATGCAAAAGTGAACAAGTCAAAATAAAGGCCCTACTCAAATCATGAGAACATGTCATCCATGAGCAGACAACAAAGTAAGAATAAGCAACTTTTAATATAAGCAGACAAAACAAAAATAATAATAATAAATAAAATTGTAGGATTCAATGCCAAAAAGTGGTAAAGTCAAAAAATATAAAACTAACCCATTGTACCCTCAGTAGTACAAACAAAGTGATCCTCATTTTGAAATTTCAACTTGCCAACTTAGCTAAATAACCATTATCCAAAAAGTCAAAGAAATATACACAATAATCAGAGCACCTAATCATGAAAAACAAATAACACTACTCACAGATAAATTTCACATTGAGATAAGGATGGGTTCATACTATGCACAATAAATATTCAATTCAAAGTTCAGAGCATAAATCCAACAGAACCAATTCCAACTACCAACAACCATTGCATCTCTCACAAGTTATTTGAAGCATATACATCCCATAGCAGACACAATGTGTGGGAAAGACATACCTGGAGCTTAACCGAAAATATGCACAATAGGAAAGGAAGGGAATTCAGCGTGCACAGGTGTAATAATGAAGGGTCAAATGGTGATTAACACAAATGAAACAAGAGCACGTGATGACTATGAATGACTGGGTGAGTGGAATAAAATAGAAGCCAGAAGAGCTGATACGGTGGTAAATAAGGGAGATGAAAGTGAAGCTGCTGGAAATGACAGAATGCTATGGTTGTGTGGAGGTCGAAAGTGATTTACGGTAAAGCTGGATCAGGAAATTAATGAAAATAATAATAATAATAAATAAATGAAAGCCGTGGTGAGGAGAGGCTGTGAACAGGGGCTGTAATGTACAGGGAGAAAGAAATGGCCCGAAGGTGAAGAAAAGAGGAAATGAAGAAGATGGCAGAGGTGGAGGTGCTGTATGTGGTGGTGAACGATGGTTGAAGACACAGCTGACCAGGAAGGTTTAAGATGCGAAGAAGAGGAACTGTGAACAGTGAAGAAAGTGTACAGAAGTGGATAACAGAGCAAGGTGACGGTGGAAGAGAGTGAAGATACGGCTGGAGATGCTGGAACAACAATGGTGACAAGCTGAACAAAGGGAAGACAGAGGTGATGGTGATGTGTGGACTGTGAGCTCTAAAAGTAAGATTCAGAAGATGCGAAATAGAACAGGGCAAGTTGAAACGCTGTGTGTGTTGTGACTGAGTACGGGTAATGAGACTTTATAGCTGGGATGTGTGACGGAGGTGGAGGTTATAGCTGGGATGAGCGAACTCACTGAACTTTATAGCTAAGGAGATGGAGCGTGGAGGCTACAGCTGAGCTTGTTGCGGCTGAGTGGGTGAGTTTCTTGCAGTTTTCACTAGGACAGGGTGACGATGGAAGATAGACAAGCACAGTGGTTGATGAGGCTGGAGATTCAGAGCTCTACGATGCTTGGTGGTGACAGCTAACGATGGACAAGCAGGTGGAAGTGAAGACGGTGAAGCATGCCGGAGTTGGAAGCTTTGCACATGGAAGTGGACGAGAAGCAAAGATTCATCAGACAAGGAGGAAGAGTGGCGGCCAAATGTTGAAGATTAGAGAAAGTGAAAAGGGAAGGGAAAAAAAAAAATGATTAGGGCAAAACTGTAAGGGGGTAAAACTATAAAAATAAAAAAATATTTTAATTTAACTTTATTTAAGAAAATTAAAAAAATGCACAGTGTCTTTTTTTAAGTAATATGCAAAGTTTTTTAGTACAATTAAAATAAAATAATCAGTAAAATATATAATTTGTTTTGAATTTTCCTAGTAAAATAAAAATAATAAACTAAAAATAATATATATATATATTTATAAAAAATTTATTCAAAATAAAATATTTTATAGTAATTAAATAAAATAATATTTTAGTAAAAAAAATTTATTTTTTTTAAGAAAACAAACATTTACAAATTTATTCTTATTAAACTAAAAAAATTAAGATTTTTTTTAAACTTAACCAAAGATTTCGCTCCAGCGAAGCCAAGTTTCACTCTAGCAAAGATGCTATCTGTAAGTTGGTTAAGCATTTTATAGAATAGTCTTTCACTCCAGGAAAACAAAGTTTCGCTCGAGCGAAGATGCTCTTTGGAATTTTTGATAAAAAATCACAGAGGCATCTACTGTCAGAGTGAAATGAGATTTTGTTGCAGCGAAGGTGTTCTTTGAAATTTTGACAAGAACACAGAGAGACTTTTTGCTAGGGCAAAATTCTCTTTTGTTGAGACGAACAAAACAAAGAATGAAAATACTCAAAATCTAAGAAAAATACGTAAATGAAGTAAAAACTCATAAAGAAAATAGCCTAAACGCCTCCCAATCAACACAATCATCATATCAAACCCGCTTCCACACCTCCTAACATTTAATTAACAACTATCAATCCAAAAATTCATCAACACAAGATTTTGATCCCATGTAAACACATAAATATCATCAATTAAGCACAAGGATAGAATACTCCCCCAAAATATTATTGGCTCATTCTTTGATTCCAAAACTTGGCTTTGAGCTTTTAAATTCTTCAAGAACTCTATAGTCCTACAAGCACACCAAAATAGAAGAAGATCAAACCAAAGACAACTAAATAAACAAACCCACAAAAAAATACAAGTAAAAAGGAAATAAAACTTGGGTTGCCACCCAAAAAGCGCTTAGTTTATAGTCCTTAACCAGACTTTCTCAGATTGTTAAGGTAGATCAACCAAGTGGACAACGGACTTCAATTGCTCTATGTCACCTCCCTAATAATGCATGAGTCTTTGTCCATTAAATTTAAAAGATCTACTTGTTCTTTTATCAATAACCTCAATTACTCCATATGGTGCTATAAAAATCACTTTAAAAGGGCTGGACCATCAAGATTTCAGCTTTCTAAGAAACAACCTTAATCTTAAGTTGAAAAGCAATACCAATTGTCCTGGCTTAAAAGTCCAATGCAAGATATGTTGATCATGCCACCTCTTAGTTCTTTCCTTATAAAGTCTAGCACTTTCAAAAGCATAGAGTTTAAACTCTTCTAACTCATTCAATTGCATTATCCTTGAAGCACTAGCTTACTTGGGGTCTATATTCAATTGTTTAATTGGCCACCAAGATTTATGCTTCAATTCAATAGGCAAGTGACATGCCTTCCCAAAGACTAAATAGTATGGTGACATCCCAATCGAGAGGCTGTGCGATAAGCCCATAAAGCATCATCAAGCTTGTTTGACCAATCTTTTCTAGTAAGACCTACTGTCTTCTCAAGTATTCACTTGATCTCTCTATTAGTCAACTCATAGGGACTATTTGATTTGTGGGTGATAAGCAAGGGATGACATCCAATGATGGACTCCATACTTTGACAAGAGAGCCTTGAATTGCTTGTTATTGAAGTGTGTACCCTCATCAGTGATAATGGCTCGAGGAGTACCAAATCTTGTAAAGATGTTCTTCTTAAAAAATTAGATCATAGTATTACCATCATTTGATTGACACGCTATAGCCTCTTCCTACTTGCTCACTTATTCTACAACAACAAGTATGTATTGACTGCCTCAAGAAGAAGGAAATGGTCCCATAAAATTCATACCCCAAATATCAAACAATTCCACTTCTAAAATCCCAAACAGAGGCATCTCATGTCTTTTAAAAATATTTCTTGTCCTTTAACATCTATCACACTTGATAACAAATTGGTGAGCATCTTTAAACAAAGAAGGCCAATAAAAACTAGACTCAAGTACTTTTAAATGTAGTTCTTTATCCTCCATAATGCCCCTTATATGCAGATACATGACAAGCATGTAAAATGGCTTCTTGTTCTATTTCAAGAACACATTTTCTAATGATCAAATCAGCACATCTTTTAAACAAAAATGGTTCATCTGAAATATAAAAGTCAATATCATGCAAAAATTTCTCCTTTTCAAAAGATTTCAAATTAGGAGGTAACATTCTACACATAAGATAATTCATAATATCCACATACTATTGTAAATCACAAGTACCAACAACAAATAATTGCTCGTTAGGAAAATTTTTAGCAATCAACAAGTCATCACCGTAATCAGAAACATGAACAAGTCTAGACAAATGATCGGTAACCTGATTTTCAGGTCCTTTCCTTTCAACAATTTTTGCATCAAATTCTTGCAACAACAAAACCCATCTAATCAGCCTAGTTTTAGATTCTTTCTTAATCAACAAATATCTAGTAGCAGTATGATCAGTATGAACTATAACCTTAGCACTCATCAGATAAACTCTAAACTTTTCAAAAGGAAAAAAATAGCAAGCATTTCTTTTTTAGTGGTTAAGTAATTTACCTATACGCCAACTAAAGTCTTGCTTGCATAGTAGATAAGATGAAAAATCTTTTCGTGCCTTTGTCCAAGCATCATTCCAATAGCAAAATCACTTGCATCACACATGGTTTCAAAAGGTTGTGATCAATTAGGAGTAACAATGATATGGGTAGATGTTAATCTACTCTTCAACTCTTCAAAGGCCTTTGTACACTCTTCATTGAAATTGAAAGTAGTGTCTTTTTCAAGTAGTTGAGATAAAGGCTTGGAAATCTTAGAGAAATCCTTGATGAATTCATGATAAAAGCCAGCATGCCTTAAGAAACTTCTTATAGCCTTCACATTAGTGGGCGGTGATAACTGCTCAATAATTAAAGTCTTAGTCCGATCAACTTCAAGACCCTTCTTGGAGACTTTGTGACCCAGAATAATACCTTCAGTTACCATAAAATGGCATTTTTCCCAATTAAGCACAAGGTTAGTTTTCTCACATATTTTCAAGACTTTTGCCAAGGTGGACAAGCATTATTCAAATGATTTTTCAAAAATAGAAAAATTATCCATAAACATCTCCATAATCTCTTCAATCATATCAGAAAATATGCTCATCATGCACCTTTGGAAAGTGGCGAGTACATTGCAAAGACCAAATGACATCATTCTAAAGGCAAATGTGCCATAAGGACACGTAAAAGTTGTTTTCTCTTAGTCCTCAGGAGCTATAGCAATCTGATTGTAGCCTGAATAACCATCCAAGAAGTAAAAGAACTCCTTACCAGCTAGTCTGTCCAACATTTGATTAATGAATGGAAGAGGAAAATGATCTTTCCTTGTGGCATCATTCAACTTCCTATAGTCTATGCAAATATACCACCCAGTAACTGTTCAAGTTAGAATTAACTCATGTTGCTCATTGATAATTACTGTCATTCCTCCTTTCTTGGGAACAATTATACTAGGCTAACCCATGCACTATCAGAAATGGGATAGATTATCCTAGCATCCAACCACTTAATAATTTCTTTTTTTACCACTTCTTTCATCATAGGATTAAACCTTCTTTGATTTCAAATAGATTTCTTATGGTCATCTTCTAATAAAATTTTATGTATAACAATAGAAGGACTAATACCTTTGATATCTGCAATTGTCTATCCCAAAGCTTGCTTGTGATCTTGAAGAACTTTGAGTAACCTTACTTTTTGATCATCAAACAAAGCAAAAGAAATAATAATAAACAAGGTCTCAGATTCACCCAAATAAGCATAAGTAAGGTGTGGTGGTAAGGGTTTAAGCTCCAAAGTTGGTGCTTGTTCGATTGAAGGCTTCAAAGAAAGAGCTTGCCTATATTCCAACTCTAGAAATTCAAATACTTTTCTTGAATTGAGAAATTAAGGAGTTTCTTGGAGTAATTTCTTGCATTTAACAATATCATCATTTTCAACCACATTATCTCCTAATAATATAGCATGTAATGAGTCTTTCACAATAAAGGACTCTAAAGTCTCTTGAACTACTTCATCTAGAATCTCCACTCTAGAAAAAATCTTAGATTCCCCAAGATACTTCATTGCTTTATGCATGTTGAATCTAACTTCATCATTTACTCTAAGCTTGATCTCTCCTTTCTCAACATTAATGAGACCTTATGCTGTAGCTAAATATGGTCTACCCACAATGAGTGAGAGATTTCTATCTTCATCACAATCCAAAACAATAAAATCAACAGAAAAGATAAATTTATCAACTTTGACTAACACATCTTCAATTTTACCTTTAGAAAATGCCAAACTTCTATCAGCTAATTGAAGAGTTACTGAAATGGGACTAGCTTCATCAACTTGCAATTTTCTAAACACAAAAAGTGGCATCAAGTTGATACTTGAGCCTAAATCACATAATGCCCTACCTTGAAATTTATCTCCAATCACACAAGGAATTGAGAAACTACCTGGATCATGGCATTTTGGAGGTAATTTGTTCAAGAGAGTGGCACTACGCTCTTCAATAAGCACAACTATTTCACATTCACTCAACCTCTTCTTCTTACTCAACATCTTCTTTAAGAATTTAGCATATTGAGGCATTTGCTCCAGAGCTTCAATAAGAGGTATGTTGATGTGCAATTGCTTGAAGATTCCTAAGAATTTCTTGTATTTCTCCTTTAATGCCTTCTTTTGAAATCTTTGAGGGAATAGTAGTGGTAGCACCTAAGAAAGATGATCACTAGTTAGTCCCTTCTTCTTCGATGTTGTCACCACCTCTTTTGGAGACTCCTTCTGAATATCATTTTCAACATTCACAACTTTAGCTTTAGTAAGTGTAGAAGATACCTCTTGCTCAGTTCAATCAATTTCTAGCTTAGTTATAGACTCAGAAGTAGGAGGGAAAATTTCAGATAATTACTTCCCACTCCATAAAGTAATTGCTTTACACTACTCATTTCCTTCTCTAGGAGGATTAGTCTCTGTATTTCTTAGCAATCCCCCTTTATGAAGTGCAGTCACTGCAGTTGCAATTTGCCCAATTTGAACCTCAAGATTCTTCAGAGATGAATCAACTCTTGCATTAATGGCAGCTTGTTCCTGACTATTCTTAATATGAGATTCTGCCAATTTTGCCATTACTTCTTCCAAGTTAACTCTTGATTCTTGAATAGGAATAGATCACTTTTCAACTTAAGGAAAACCTAGAGGAACGATTGGCTTTGCACTAGAAGATGAAGCTCGATTGAGGATTGCACTATTTCTCCAAGAGAAGTTAGGATTCTGACACCACCCAGGATTATAAGTGTTTGAAAATGGGTTGACTTGTTTATTACCACGATAATTCCTAGCATAATTTACCATCTCAACTTGTTAAGAAAGATGGCAATGTTCAGTAGCATATGTATCTCCACAATAATCATACTGAGCATATATGGCATGAACTCTTACAGGCCTACCATTGTTTCAATCAACACGTGCTTCTAAACAGTAAAATCTTTTACTTAGAATCTAAAGTAAAGCTACCATTTAGGAAGATGAAGCGTTATTAGTAACTCTTTCTTATGGTCTCACAGGTCTTCTCTCATTGTTGTTCTCGATGTAATCAGCAGGAAGATCATCTAAACAGTTTCATACATAGTTTATCAGTTACTTTGTAATCCCACCATTAGTGATTGAATTCATTTTAGACTTGGATTCTGGTGTCAACCGGTTACTAAAAACTTGAATCAAAACCTATTTCTCTGGATTATGCCCAAGACTCTAC